GGCCTCGACGTCTCCTTCTGTGACAAGGTGGGGGACCAGAGCCTAGCCTATATCGCACAGGGCCTGGACGGGCTGCGTTCCCTCTCCCTCTGCTCCTGCCACATCAGCGACGAGGGCATCAACCGCATGGTGCGGCAGATGCACGGGCTCCGCACCCTCAACATCGGGCAGTGCGTCCGCATCACTGACAAGGGCCTGGAGCTCATCGCCGAACACCTCAGCCAGCTGACGGGCATCGATCTCTACGGCTGCACCCGCATTACCAAGCGGGGCTTGGAGCGCATCACCCAGTTGCCCTGCCTCAAGGTGCTCAACCTGGGACTTTGGGAAATGACTGAGAGCGAGAAGGTCAGGTGAGAGGAGGGGGGCAGCCCGAGACCTCCATCTCCTCTGGAGGGACTCACTGACTGACTGACTGACTGCTGCAATGGAGGAGAGAAAGAGAGAGAGGGGCACGCACAGAGCCATGCTACCCACGCACCCTAGCACTGGAGGGAGGAGCGTAGAGAGTATATCCTCAGCCCTTCTGTGCTGCCTACCTACCCCTGCTCTGGAGGAGGAGGAAGTGGGGGACATGAGGAGAGAAAGCACCTATCCTTTTTCCAAGTCATGCCTCCAGCTCCATGCTGGGGAGACAAGAGCTCCTCCTTCCCCCACAGCATCCTTCCTTGTGGAAGAGGTAGAAGCTCACACTTATGCACTGGGGCTAGAGACACCCCTCTTTATCCCCACTCCCTGATTCCATCCCCTCATGCACTAAGGATGGATAAAGAAAGACCCTTGTTCTGCCATGCATTCAGAATAGATTATTTTTGGTTTATATAAAGGAGAGTGGGAATGGAGATGGGAACAAACCACAACAACAGCAGAAAAGGTTTCCTAGCTACACTTAGGTACCCAGCCACCTAAGTCATCCTGCGCTGGGCACAGACACAGCTTTTCGTAAAATAACCATTCCACCTCTGCGCTTGCCCCTCCCCTGTCAACTGGGAATTGACAGAAATACTGCTCCCTAGGTACATTGATTTTTTTTTTTAATTATTATTTTTATTTTTTTTAAATCTGTTTTCAATCTCCAGTTCCATGTTATTCTCTGCTGTGGGTGGATCCAGCCTCCCACTATTCCAGTTCTTCACTGCACTGAGACTAGGGATAGCTAGCTACAGCCTCTCTTTTTGTCAGTATATTTCTGTGTCATCCTGTACTATGGTTAATGAAAAAGCCTAGGCACTCCATTCTCTCTCCCCATCTACTGGTGGTGAAGATACCATTTCCTCCTTCTCCTGTCTCTGGGGACTGGACATGGACCCCAGTCTTTTAAGCCTTCCCATGCACTGGGGGACACTGACAGTTACCAAGCCTTGTCTTCCCTTTCATCATTCTCTCTTTTTCTCCCCTCCTTCTTGGCAACAGGGATAAACATATCCAGCTACATATCCATTCCTCTTTGGGTCGGGGGTGAGCAGGTAGAAGGGGTGGCTAGCTCCCCTCTACCCAGGGGACTTGAGGAAGAATCTCCAGCTTCATTTCTGCTTCATTTGAGATACTGTGACCTGTTTTTATTTTGAAATGCATAAAAAAAATTACTGCTACAAAAACAGCCTCTTAACTCTCCCATCTATCCCTTGCTTATGTCCTGTAACTGATCCCAGTTCTCCTCACTCATTCTCCTCTTCACAGTATTCATTTTCTTACATGGTTTTATTTTTAAAGTCATTTGAAGTTGCTGTTCTTGTGGATTTTTAAGTACTTTTTTTTCTGCTGAATATATTCTATATATATAAATATATATATGATGTCTGGCTACCTCGTTTTAATTTGTTACTTTTTTTTTTTTTTTTTTCTCCTCAAAAGCCCTGGAATTCTTACAGGAAAGAGATTTTGAGACTGAAACATTTTTGTGCCTAGACTGGAATAATGCCCTTTGGGTTTGTTCTTTTTCTCCCTGCCCTCCCCCCCCACCTTTTTTTATATTTTTGGTTTGGTTTTGAAGCTTACCCTGTTGTGTCCCACCTTCACATTCTGGTTGTGCCTCTCCCTCCCTCTTCACTGGGGACCCGTACTGTGCTTCTGCATTTTTACTCTTCTAGCACAAACATGTAACATGAGAATCCACGCTGAGGATTGGGCTACTGTTAACAGAAACGTGTGAAATGCAAGATCGTTTTTTTAAAAAAAATAAATTATATGTATAGATATATGCAAATGCTTTCCCCTCCCAAGTCACCTACAAAAGGTCACTGTGCCAGGCTTCCTGTTTGTAGGTGGAGAGGAGCAGAGCTGGCCTGCAGGCCCTGAGGCTGCAATGTGAAGGGGAGGAGACTGAAGTTCATCTGTCTTATCTCTGTTCTGTCAATAAAATGGAGCTGGGTCTTTAGATTTTTTTATTATTATTATTATTATTATTATTTTAAAGAGGAAGAGTAAGTTTGTTTTTTGTTGTTTTTTTTTTAAAGAAAAAATATCTTGGCTTTTTTGTGCTCATCTGTTCGAAATCTCAAATCCTCCACAGTTAACAGGCCAGACCACGGAGTTAACACAAACCCAGAGACCCCCTATGGATTAATTGTACTGTTTGTGAATTTGTATAAAAAAAATAACAAAGATCCTCTTAAAACATTTTATATTCTTACAGTAAAAGGTTAAACATATTTATATAATAAAAGAGGAAATATGAAGTATGTTTTTGAAAAAAAAAAAAAAAAGCCTTATCTGTGTTGTCTGTGCTTTTTAAAGACAAGTATCTCTGTCTACACATTGGGTTTGGTAAGTATGCCATGTGGCTTGTGCCACGGGTCTGGGGCTGCTTGCTCTTCTTCCAGTGAGTGACAAAGGAAGGAAGGAAGAGAGCCTGGTGCCTCCTGTGCAGGATGTTGAGTAACATCATGAAGAGTTTGAAAGGAAGGGGTTTGGTAGGACCAGCCTTGTCTGCAAGGGCACCCACAGCAGCCATTGGGAGAAACTTCAGTTCAGCTCCCTGTTGGTCTGAGGCATCAGCTCAGACTGAGGTCAGACAGACCAAAAGTGCTGAAGCTCACTAGCAAGTGAATAATCAGTGGTAGAGGAAGACTGTCCTGGTTTGAGCTAGGAAGGGGGGGGGCAGAAGGGCTGCATTTCCTTATTTTTTAAAGCTCCAGATTGATGGCAGAGGTTTTTTGAGATTAACTTAAATTCAGTCCCACTCTGGGTGAAAGACCCATCAAATAAAAGCATTTATTTCCCAGCAGTGACAACCCCCTAAAACCATGCCTTTGCCAGTGCACAAAGACCTGGGAAAGTCAAATCTGGGAAATCTTGGTTGGTTTCCACTGCCCTGGCTAAGATTTAAGGGGAAGGAAAGTGGGAATGTAAAAAGGAAAAAAGAAAAAAAAAAAGTTATACTAATCTAAGGTGTCCTTTGTCCTAGACCATAATCTTTCTCCTTCATGTATGACTTTTAACCCGACAGGGTTGCTTTTTAGCCTTCCACGATGTGGGGTTTTTTATTGTTGGCGATGGGGCTTAAGCAGTGTTTATAGGGCAGTGACAAAGCCCCTCTCCCCGCAGCCCGGTGGCGGGGCTGGCTCGCCCCGCTGCCCCCTTCCTGCCTCGAAGGAAGGGGAATGCGAAATGGTGGAAGAAGCCGGAGCCATTGTTCAGGAAAGTTAAAAGAGGAGCTGTCCTTGCTTGCTCAGTCATGCATACTCAATCTGGCCGGGCCCGGGTCCCTATGGAAAGGAGGAGGGCGATTCTTCCCCTCTTTTTAACATTCCTCTCCAGGCCTGGCTGTATTTAAGCTGCTTTCCTCCACGCCGAGGAGGAGAGAGGGGGATGGTCTGAAGTTCCTGTACATTTGCATTTTAAGCACTTCCAGCACTGAGCAGGCCACTTTGTTCCTGCTGTGCTACCCTGCTCCAGCAGCCCTCACCGGGGTGCTGCTCCAGGTGGCTCAGATGCCCTACCAAAGGGAGGCCCCTCTGCCCCAGGTGCTTAGCCTCTGCCTGCACAGGTATATTTGGTTGAGGCTGGACTTGGCATACCTCTTTGTTGCCAGCTTTAACCATTTCACTCCTTTTATGTCAGTGCTGCATTTCAAAGGGGAAAATAGTACCCAACTCTGGCCCTCCTAAGAAGAAACCCTATCTCCTCCACATCCTAAGGACCTGGACTGTCTCAAGGTTTAGACTCTGGGCTGTGTGTTGGTTTTTCCTCCTCTCCTTCCAAGACTTCCATGCTTTCTGCTAGGAGTCCATCACAAAAGCTGCATTGTTCACTTTAGGGAAAGCCACCACAATTGGATATAATTGAGCCTGACGCTATATCCATCTTCCTTTCCTTGGAGGGAGGTGTGGGATCTGTCTTTCCTGTCTTAAGGAAAAGTTTACAGTAACTTCTTGACTGAAAAAGATCATGTATGTATGAATGTTATAAACAACGGGAATTCCAGATCAGGTTCCCATTACTGCTGTAAACGTAAATGTTCCTGAGGTAGGGAGCAGTTCCAGACAGTGATGGGGAACAAGATACATCTCTCATAAGGCGTGTTTGTTTCTGCTGGATTTGAGTGAAAATGGCACCTCATTAAGTCACATGTTCATATGTCTATGTAATGTGTGTGCTCATAAGCTCTTTAACTAAAACAAGGACAGGACTTCCCCCCCCCCCCCCCGCTAAAAGAACTCCCAAACTTCCTTTCCCAGCTTAAAAAAACCAAACCAATATATGGCCCACAATGCTAGTTAAGGGGAACCCAAGACTAGGAAAGCTGCTGAAACCAAAGCCACCCCAAAGCCCAGCATTTAGACACCTGGGGCTGTTCCCCATAGGTGGAGAAGAGCTCCTCATGCCTTCCTCATGCCCCAGTGGGACAGCATCTCCTCAGGCACACAGGCAGCCCTCACCACCCAGCAAGACCAGGGCTGGGGGAATGCTTGTGTTTACTAGTGAACAGAAGGGTTTCTTAAAATAAATAATCCATTGCCAGCAGCCATATACCAACTACCATATGACTCCTCAGGGTAACAAGGAAACTTAATTTTCCCTCTTCAGCTACTCTCAAATTTTCGACCATGACTGAATTGGCAGCTGGGGTAGAAGACCATAAAAAAACCACACCACTATTTAGAAGCTAGCTGGCTGTCACCTGCCTGTGTCAACAAGCCCACAGTGCCCCAGCAGTGGCTTTGGTGCCAGCCTTTGCCACTCTGCCTGGCAATAGTGCTCCCAGTCCACCCAGCCATGCCGGCTGGGACAGCAGGGTCCCTCGCCTACAGCCATGCAAGCCAGAGCACTGAGGATGTACCAAGGATTTGCTTTATGGACTAGTGACTCTGGGGAGCAGAGGGGTCAAGCTTGAGGGGTAGCAGCAGAAAGCTGAGCAGAGCAGGAGCAACGAGAAAGCGGGAATGAAGAGACTGGGCAGCAGGGCTCCAGGGACTGAGAGGCAGTGGTGGGGGCTGCTGTCTCACAAGCTGCAGTGAAGCCCCTGTGTGCACAGAGGTCCCTGGTCTGCTGCAGCAGCTGCTCCCCTAGCCAGAGCAAGTGGCTGGCTCCTCTCCCTGGGAGATGGGGAGAACAAGGAGCCTCCCCCTGGGTCTTACTGCCCTTGGACTAGAATATGGGAGGTCCGTGCATGACAGATTTATACGCTTTATACCTTCCCACCCCACACTCTGGGTTGGACTGAATCAGTTTGTCGTGGTGATTCTGGGGTCCTTTGTTTCCCCGATAATAAATAACAGGGTCACGGGGCAGCTGTCACGCAGACCGCCTGAGGCCTTTGCTGGGATGAGAGGTGATCTCTGTGCTCGACAGTAGAGAGCTTACCACTGAACCTGCCCTTTAGCAGTCAGGGAAGAGTTAAAACAAGAGGTGGGTGGCCAAGACACCCAAAGTTTTTGGAACCAAAGCTGGAACTTAGCACAGGCTGCCATTAACAGCTCAAGGGCAGGCATCCCCTGGATCTG